ACTTAGTTTATGATTTTTTTTTCCAGCACTTAACTTCTCTTCTCAGCTGACTCCTGCATGTTGATTGGGATCCTGAAATTCTAGTAATTGAACCAACAGAAGATATGGACCGGTGGCTATGACTTGGTTTTTACATTTTTGCAGGCCTATATGTTCAAGTATGATTCTACTCATGGAGTCTTCAAGGGATCACTCAGGGTTTTAGATGATACAACGCTGGAAATAAATGGGAAGCAGATTAAAGTTTGCAGCAAAAGGTATCCACATGGCGCCATTCTGGGACTTGTATCGTGCTTATACTTGCCAAGTAACATGAACCGTAGTATATTGTTTTTATACTTTCCAAGTCACTTGAGCTGAAATGATGACACTAGTAAATTACTGTTGTTGCAAATGCATATTCATGATTGTTTATGCACAGGGACCCTGCTGACATTCCATGGGGTGAGTATGGGGCAGACTATGTTGTTGAATCTTCTGGTGTCTTCACAACGGTTGGGAAGGCATCAGCTCACAAGAGGGTAAGTTAATTATGTTGTGGATCATAATCACCATCCAAAGTTGCTCCTCACTCGCATTGTTCTTTATCTCCTCGGGTTTTATGATTCACAGGGTGGAGCTAAGAAGGTTGTCATTTCGGCTCCATCTGCTGATGCACCTATGTTTGTGGTGGGAGTAAATGAGAGTACATACAAACCAAGCATGGATGTTGTTTCCAATGCAAGCTGTACCACTAACTGCCTTGCCCCACTTGCCAAGGTTTGATCATATTTCACGCATAGCAAGAACTTGAAGGGAATTTGACTTCTGGTCCTTGGACTGGTTTTCTTTTTGCTGTCTTTTTTCCTGTTTCCGGGTGACTTGGGGCATTGGGTGCTTTAGCTTGTCATAGTGATCAACTGCCATTCAATAGGACTATCCTGTTTCTGAAAGCGTTGAACTACTTACTACTATTGATTTTTTCACTTGCAGGTGGTCCATGAGGAGTTTGGCATTTTAGAGGGTTTGATGACAACTGTCCATGCAACCACAGGTCTGTCTTAGACATAAAGCTATACAGAACAGCTTTCCGCTGATGTTACTAAAACGTTGGATTGCTTTTATGATTTTCTATATACTTGTTCTGTTCAGCCACCCAAAAGACAGTTGATGGTCCTTCCATGAAGGATTGGCGTGGAGGCCGTGGAGCAGGCCAAAATATTATACCTAGTTCTACTGGTGCTGCAAAGGTATTATCTGGATTTAGATGTGAAGTATATCCTAATTTGTCTGTTTCCTGTAACTTCTGGTCATTTTACATTTGATCTATACCACTGAAATTGTAGGCTGTTGGAAAAGTACTTCCAGAGCTTAACGGAAAGCTTACAGGAATGGCCTTCCGTGTTCCGACACCCAATGTCTCGGTTGTGGACTTGACCTGTCGACTTGAGAAGAGTGCTTCTTATGAAGACGTCAAAGCAGCCATTAAGTATGCTAACTGAATTTCCTGCCCTCTCAGCTCTGAGCGTCTCTCTTGCTTGGTCCCAGACGGCCTTTCTTCTTCATCTTTTTTTTTTATGGGTACTTTATTGTTATATAAGCAATTATGCAGATTTCTTAATTGTATTTCTAACTGCAGGTATGCATCAGAGGGTCCCCTGAAAGGCATTCTTGGATACACTGACGAAGATGTTGTTTCCAATGATTTTGTTGGCGATTCAAGGTAGAATTGTCCTGCTTCTTAAGTGTTGTTATTACTCATGGGAACACATAATTACCATTTGAATTTACACAGTCGTCCTTGGAGGATTTGGTGATTCCTGAATTCATTATTTACCAAGAATTAGGATTTAATTTCTCCTCCTCTCTTGTAGTATTAGCCTTGAGTTCATTTATTGCCCAATTCCACTAATGCTGGCTTGACTAGTGAACAACCATCGCTTTATTCTTTTTTTTCTTTTTTGGTCGAAACGTCAAGGACAACCATCACTTTATTCAGTTGAAACTTTTTGTCCAGCTCTTTTAGTTTATTTAATTTTTTGTCTTGACATGGAGTTGTAAGGTGTAAGCTTCAATTTCCAGTTGTTTTGAGAGTTTTTTGCCTGCCCAAGTTTAGTGTTCTCAGTGTTGGCTTCTTCCTTATTAGGTCAAGCATCTTTGATGCAAAGGCTGGGATAGGGCTGAGTTCCTCCCTCATGAAACTCGTAGCATGGTATGATAACGAGTGGGGTTACAGGTATTGTTAGCCTCTTATTTCTCTGTGTCTCTAGTGTGGCGCGCAAGAATTGGCAAATAACCTTTTTTTTTTTTTTTGGGTAATGCAATATTTCAGCAACCGAGTGCTGGATCTGATTGAGCACATGGCATTGGTGGCAGCCAGTAACTGAGCAATTCTGAGGCCTGTGGTGAGCTGCAAATTTTGAGTTAGTCACACGAGTGTTTCCAGTTAAAAAGGAGTGTTAAGGTTGTGTGAAGTTGCAGTTTGTGTTGGGAAGGCTTTTAGTTATTTGGTTTTTGCTCTATAGATGCATGCTGCAAAATGAGTCTGAAAATAATTCTTCCAGACACGCCCGCCCTCACCTTGTAACAGAGGAGTACAAACAACACCTTCATTTTACTCGGAACAATTTTTAGCTGCTGTTTGTTTGCTGAAATAGTAGTAGTAGTAGTAATAATAATAATAATATGGAGGAGCGTTTCTTTTTCTGCTCTTATTTTATATATATATATTGTCTTGTTTGTGCGGAACCGTACAGGACAGTTTTTCTCCTCGACTTTTTTGGGTTACTTTTTCGTCTAGAGACGGCAACACCAGATGCAGGTCGGAATATATGCCCTCTGTTCCTGCACCTGGGGAAAAAAGCGCAGTTTGGAGGGTTCGATGTCCTTGGTGATGGCCAACTGAACTAAGGCTTGCTTGGTAAAGTCGCGAGTATTCTCAAGTGTCCTCGCGTTTGCAACTAGGCGTGCTACCATCCCAATGATATTAGTGCTTCACTAAAAAGCAGCTAAGGCCGGCATGATTTGCACTTTAAGAGATGGCTTAAGCATCAAATACGAGATCAACTATTTGGTTATATACGGGATAACCTCAAAATCTCCGCTTAAGGTTTTGTCAAAATTGCAGTTTATCCCTCAACATCTATTTCTTCTCACTTTAATCCCCTTTTTTAGTTCAACTCATCAAATTGACCATTAATATATTTGAGTTGACAAAACTGCCTATGTATAAAGTTTATTTTTTTTTTAAAAAAGTCCACCGTAAGACTCCTTCAATGTTCGAATTACAAAGTTCAACTTTTACCTACAATAATTATCTTTTTGAATTTTTGGATTAAATAAATTGAAATACCAATATTCTTTTTTTTTTTCCCCAGAATCATTATGCATACAATTATTTTAAGTAGGTAGACTCTAAACTTTAAGAAAAAGGAAGGAAAACGTGTTATATTATAGTCAAGAATTGTAGAAAAATGGGTAAACTTTACAACAAAGCGCATGTTTCTCTTTCTTTATTGCCATACATCACATATTTCACTACCCTTTCCGCAAAGTTCAGAATCTAACCACTTGCAATAATTTCATGCATGATGATTAATAGCAGAAAAAATATTAAATTGTGTTTGGATTGCATTTTCCGTGATTTTTCATGAAAAAATTACTGTAGCGATTTGATGTATGTGAGGGAAAAAGGTAATAGGGAAATGTGATCACGGAAAACGACGTAATTTTTTGACCGAAACCGGCAATCCAAACAAGTAAGAGGAATTATTTTATTCACGGGAAGTGTTTCAATTTATTTTATTCAAAAGTTAGAGGAATTATTCTATAATAAAAGTAATATCTTTTAATTTGAATATTTAAAGACTCTTGGGGGTCTTTATTTATAAACCATGTAGAAGGGCATTTTCGTCAACTCAACTATTTTAATGATCAATGTGATGAGTTAAACTAAAATAAGGGATGAAATGAGGAAAAATAAACATTACGGACTAAACTACAACTTGGACCAAATCTTAAAAGGAAGTTTCATAATATATATGTGTGCGCGCGCGCGCGCATTTTATTTTACCTCCTATCCATTTCCATATCTTATGATCCTAATGATACACACACATGCACACACACATGTATGGTAATAACTAGTCAAAGTATAAATTAGGGATTATTTCAAAAACCTCCATTGAAGTTTCTGACGATTGCAGCCATCTCCCCTAATGTTTGAAAAATTACACTTACCTCCCTTGATATTATGAAAAGACTATGACAGCCTTCACAAGCTTTACAAATTTTAAGTGAAAATGAGATTAAAAGAGAAAAATAGAAATTCTTTTTGGATAAAACTTCTTTATCCTAAAACTCTAACGTCATGCAATTTAGTATATTACACTTCATTCCCAATTTTTTAAACTAGATTTATTAATTAATTTATAAAAATCGACCAACCTATTAGGGAGGCATTTGTTAAAATAAGTATTTTGAAAAATTACTTAACAAAAAAAAAAAAGGCTCAAAGTAACCAAAAAGAATGCTTTCAAAACATGGTTTATATTTTCCTACAAAAAAACCAACTTAAAATTTTCACCTAACTAATAATGGTGATAGTTGACTTTTTAGAATTTAATAAATTTATTTTACACATCATAGAGGGGTAATATTGGATTTTTTTTCCTTACATCATCAATTGCTACCAAGAGATATTTTGGTAGGGGAGGTTTCGATAAATTTTCAAACTTTAGACGAGGTGGATGCGATTGTTAGAAACCTCAAGGGAGATTTTTGCAATTATCGCTATAAATTGTAGGTCATGTTAATGCAGCTGCGGGGAGAGGAGAGCTTTGCAAAATGGGAAGCGTGTCAGGGTGCATGCATGCTCATTGCCACTGGTTCTAAAGCGGTAACCGCAACACAAAGCAGCCTTGGCGCAAATGAGGCGAGATCAGCCAATAATTAATACCGTTGGTAGAATCTCCCCATAAATTCCACTACTTCAATACTACTACTACAACTAGTGCCATTGCTTTGCTTGTATTTTCCTTCCGACTATATATACCACTGTCTTTGCTAAAATTACAATTCATTAATCCCTTCAAAAAAAAGAAAAGAAGATCATAATTACTTGACTACTAAACTGGAATCAGGCCTTCATCATCTCCGCACTGCAGTTCAATAATAATAATTTTTTTAAAAAAAAAAAAAAAAAAAAAACTGAAAGCCAATAGGCAGGCTACTCAAAACATCTGTGGATTCAGCTGCTGCTAGTGTGTGTTACACAGCACTCACTGGCTCGCAAGCAAGAGCCCAACCAACAACATCAATAACAATTGCTTTCCAAGATCATAAAACCACTGTAGCATATCAATTTCCACTCAACCTGCAGCACCACATCACAGTTTTTCCAGTATCTTGTTTTATACACCAAAAAAAGAAAAAAAAAAACCTCTCTTCCTTTTGATTTTTCCAAACAACATACCAGTAATCGCGGTTCTCAAATCCACCATACCACTCATTTCTATTAGCATCAATGCTTCTGTGTCCAATCACTCAACTGACCATTTTGGATTATGCCATTTTCAATCAAGTATTCCACAAATTCATCAATCAGATAAGGCCAAGCACCATCAACATCATAGTTTGAGAGTTGGGGGTCCACAGTCTGCATTCACCACCACCAATAACAACAACAACAACAACATCAGTCTTGCAAAGGCTTAATACCAGAGGCATCAGAATTAGAAAGTGACACAATGGAAGAAAATTTTCAAGCACACTACCCAAACTACTGCTTGAGATGCAACCCGAACAAACAGGGATTGCTTTCCTTCTTTCATTAAACAAAAACTGATCCCAGTTCCCGGTGTGTGATGCTCTTATACCCTATTAGACACTTTTTATCCTTCTGCTACGACAAATTGTTAAAGAGATTGTATAAATTCCAGACAACCAACTCGTGGGACATAAATTACCTTTGCAAACTCGAGGAGTTGAGACCAGGTGTCCCTCGATATAGCTTTATTATGTCGTGCCTGAAAAAGACGAGGCCACCGGGCAGGGGTGTGTGGAGGAAGTAGGATTAGTAATCGTACGAGAAATAATGCAAAAAGCAGATGAATAAATGTACCCTAACAACTATGCATCAATAGGTTTGACGTGACATGCAATTCTACGACGACAATTTACCAGCATCAGACGAGAATTGAGAGAGAGAAAAAGATGTAACGAATATAAGCTTTCCTTCATCTGAAGGGTTTCCACGTTCTAAATTTTGCACAACCAGCACCCATTTAGCTAGCCAAAATTGTGGTCTGACAACTAAGAACCGAGTTCCATCTTAGCACCACTAAATTGTTGGATCTGGTTTTGAATACAATCTCAAATTTCAGAGACACCATGGTTGTTTACATAAAAATCAATATTTAAAAAATAATAATAATACAGCAGAGAAGGACAGACAGATGCAGAAAGACAATCTCAAACTTCACAATATGGTCACTACAAATATTTGATGGAAATCTTATCCATCGGATTCTGTAAAGCATAGAAGCAGAAACATTTAAGTAACGCTACTCATTATGTAAGAAGTTCATAACAATATTGTTTAATACAATTAAAAATGGCAAAAAAGGGTTTCAGAACTGAAAACTAATGTCCCAAAGTAAGATCAATAGATAGTATGAACACTGACAGCAAAAGGTAAAATCACATGTAGTAGTCTAGACAAATCCATTACTAACACATTGGTCCTATAGTACAACTGCAAATCGGGATGAAATTGGCCTTGTTCCCACATGGATTAAACTATATGATAAAGAACCAGACACATAAAACTGCTGGCCTTTATATTGATTTCCAAAAGCATACCCAATCGAAAGGGTAACAACGCTTTCAGTGCAAGAAAGTTGCGGCAAGCGTCAACCAATTATTGCACTAAGTACAAAACCCTAACACGTAGACTGATATGTGCAACTACAGAAGTAAAAAGGGAATATTGAGATATCTGCTTATGCTACCTGCAAGAACTGGCACCAATGATCAACCAATGGCCAATGCTTCTCAGCAAAAAGCAGCTGCCACATCCCTATTGCAGTATCTAATGCCAAAGACTTCTGGCCCTGAAATTGAGAAATTTCATCAGCAGTGTAGTAGTAGGTGTAAAGCCACCTCTCTGTTTCCAACAGTGTGTGAAACAGCATTCAGGTAATTAAGGTCAGCATGAAAACCCAGATTATTTTTACTTGCAGTTTGCATGCTGCATTTTATTTCACCTTTACAGAGATAATCCAGGTTTTGGAAGGCTTATTCATGTTAGCATACACTTCAGCGCAGTAAATCAATTAAGAATCAGACCATGGAGCTATATCTAGAAAATCACTCAGCATGAAAGAAAAAAATTTTCAAGCAACCAAAACGAATTGATACCTTCTCCTTTGCCCATCCGAAAGCAAAGTTATAGATCTCTCGAAACTTTTCTGTAAAAATGAAATTAAGCAATTTAATTGAGAGCTAGTAAAACATCCAAAGCAAAACCAAAATAGGTCTAGGTTGAGATAGGCCCACAAGTCTAATAGACATGGTCTAAAGTTAACATTTCCTTGTCAAAAAATGGGGAGTTCAACATTCACACTTACGATCATCTTTAAGCTCAGAACGCATAAATGGTATTTTTTCCCTCAATTTCTCTATTGAATCCACCCTGGCATTGAAAATGCAGATTTGACTGAGATTCAGGTCAAAGACTTCAAGCTTTTATTGACAAAAACAGCAAACACAAACAAGAGTCTTGATAGATTTGATTCAAACACACCCTAGAGACTGCAATCCACCAATGAACTCCTGCTTTGAAAATTCACACATAGTAGCAGCCTTCATATGCCATGAAAGTACCAACTGCATAACAACAACTGCTATGTCAACCAAGACTAAACAATGTGCCATAAATATAATTTTGATTGTGAATAACACAGAGCTACATCTTTTTATTCTATTTTACAAAGAGCTAACTCACTTTACAGAAGAATGGGAAATCTAGATAAGCTTAACAGCAAAAACGTTTAAGCAAATTTCTTTTCACTAATGATCACCCAACCACAAGAAGCTGAGTTTGGAACTTTTACATCACCATTTTTTTAAAAGCAATAGTCAATATGCAATCCGTTTTAGCATTTTAAAGGCTACCAAAAAACAACAAAGATTGTTGAGCACCAAATATGCAGATGAGAGCAGGGACCAACAATCAAAGTACTTCCATAACCACAGGTACATACCATGACAATATCCTGATGATCGACCTGCGATAAGAAACTTTTGTTGTTACAAATCAAGAAAAAACGTTTGTCCAATAATTTATTGAACCATGGTAGAACATATAGAAGTAAGTGTCCCAAAAGTTAAGAAGCAAAAACTATTGAAAACACCTGCAGAAAATTCCCATTAGAAATTGGCTGTACTACATATACACAAAATCCAAACCTCGATCAGGGTTATAGTTACCAGAATGTCACTGCACAAAAGAGTGATTCCATCAGCCATAATCATATCCGCATAAGCATCTGCAAAATATGACATCTTCACAAGATTCAGGATAAAAGGCAATAATATGGCATGAATAGCCGCTAGCATAATTTGATAATCCAAAAGTAAGGTGTCATTGTGGCTGCAAGTATGTAGTGGCCGAAGCAATCAACTAACAAAACAAGGGGGGAAAACTTTCAGCATATAAATCCCATAAGAACAGAATAGATGTCTCCACTTTACTTTCCAACATTATGCTAAGCACACAATCACAAGCAAACTGCCTTTGATAATTAAAAAAAAAGGAAAAAAAGTCAAGGAGGATTCTGTCATTTTCTTTAATGGTTTGCCAAAGATATTTGTAGGTCTCTACCATCCTTAACAATGAATCAGGCTTGAGAAGTAATCTAAGAAGCAGATAGTTGCAAAGCGTGAAAAGTCCTAAGAAATTGTCTGCAGAAACGTTCAAAATTCAGCACAAAAACTTCCCCAACCGGAAGCTTAACACAAGAAAGGAGGCAACAACTCAGACACTCAGCCTATGAATATTCTAATTAACTTACTATTGATATTAAATATCCAAGTGCAAGCATGCTACTATTGTTTGAGCAAACAAAACCAAAATCACCCAGTTGAGGAAGCACTGAAAATATACATATGCCCAATTGAACACATTGCACAAACCATTTAATCTGAACAATTGCATCATTAAGATAGTTATTTTTTTTTGGTCCCCTTATCAAACTTTAATTCTCCGACACAAACTAAACCTCGCTCATCTAAAATCAATTCATCCAGTTATGTGTCAGAAAAAGAGAACCAAAGCAGGAGCAAAACAGCAAAATTTAGGATTTGAAAGCAATGGAAGGAATAGTATTAAAACAAAAGGATGGTATCTTTACACTACCTTTATATCTGTTGTAAAGATCTTCCAAGCGCCTAGCATCAGTATATGATTTTGGTTGGGGTTGACTGTAGAATGCGTCGAAGGCTCCTTCAAGATGCCAATCACTAGCCTTCAAAGCCTGATATGCAGCCTTTTCACTTTGATTGAAACCAAAAGCAAAAAAAAAACGAAGAAGATAATAAAGGTCAACATACTGGAAAAAGGGAATATTGATAAGACTTCAATAGAAAAGATTCAGATCGTGAATTGGCTCAAAAGCAATCTACATGCGGACTGTTGAGTAACAAATCTCATATAAAGATGAAGAAGATGACAAAACTCGAAACAAACGGCATATTGCAAAAGGAGGGTTTTTTTTTTTTTGGGAATCATAAGAATGTGGAGATTTGTAAATTCTTAGCATGAAACCACATCTGCAGATGGCTTAGCAGCGGTGACAAAAGTCTAGATACATCTTGAAGAAAGCATTAGTTTACAAGCATTGGAAAGCTATAAAGCTGGACTAAAATCATACTAGTAGCTATTACCATAACATAGATGCATCAGTGTAAAAGGGGTGCCGAAAATAATAAATGAAAAGAATGGTTGCGGGAAGGATCATAGGTGGATTTAAACTCAAGCGGTAAACATAATGTGGGCTAGTAGCACAGCAATAGAAAGAGATAAATAACATTCGTATTAGAAAAAAAGGAAAAACACCTAGTGCCAGTAATGGTCATAAACTGGTGAACTTTGTCCCGGTGGCCTCTGCCCAACTTGTTCTGGTAAAATGCAAATATGAATGTCATCAACCAATACGATTGATCTGATAAATAAATAAATAAATAAATAATCAACACTCGCCCGCCAAAATTACTACTACTACTTTGCGACGCGACGCAGAGAGAGAAAGAGAGAGAGAGAGAGAGATTTGAGGCCAAAGAGAGTGACGAACTCATGGATTTGATGATTAGCAGAGAATCATAGTAATCCAGCTTGATATATAAAGATTAAAACGTCAGTCCACAACAAAAATCAATACTAACGGAAAAAAGAAAAGGAGCGGAGAAAGAAAATTAGGAAAAGAAGCAGAAAGTTTGTAACTTTAAAGAAAAGGGATGTGCTTAACGGGGGCGGGGAAGAGAGCAAAGATTATAAAGGAAACTGACCATGCTTGAGTAGAGTGGATGAGGGAGAGAGCAGAGAATTATATGAAGGGTGATATGAGGAATAAAGTCTAGGGTTAGCTCCCAACTGGTGACGACTGTTACCCTCTCTCTCTGCGTATTACTTGCAAATTGCTACTCTTGCCTTGTCCAGTTGTCTGTGTATCGCACCATACACGCACGCGCGCGCGCACACACACACACACAGAGGCGGCAGCGGCAGCAGCAGCGTTTGCAAATTGCCTTTCTTCTTCGATTTCTGTGTGTCTTCTCTGCTGTGTGTGTGGCTGTCTTTGTGGTGTGTGGGAGAAAGAGTCAGCCACCAGAAGAACCGAGAGAGAGAGAGAGAGAGATGGCGCATTGAAGCACCCACGCTTTTATCATTTATGCCCTCGCGTTTCTTCCTTTACATTTTTTTAGCTTCCCTCATTATTTGTAGTATTATATAGTATTATTCCTTGCATGTATTTTTTTTTTTTTTTTTTTTTTTTTTCAAAAAAAAAAGAAAAAGAGGACCAATAGTAGTAGTGTAAGTGTAGCCCACTTGTCCTATTTCTCTCTGTCTCTCTTTTTTTTTTTGAAACAAAAGAAAAAAAATTCATCCAATAGCTAGCCTAAATTCATGGAATCAGAATTCGAAGATTAAAGGGCACGTTGAGTAAGAGTAAGAGTGAAAGTGTTATAGATTGGGCGGTGTAACATTAACAGTTATATAGATGGTCGTATGTAGTAAAACAAGAGATGAGATTTGATTTGTGAATAGAATAGAGATAAAGAGTGCAGTAGTGGTTGCTTAGATTGCTAATAATCATGATCATTCAAATGATCTCAACCCCTTATGCATACGTAGTACACATTTTTCAAGCACTAGTAGTGGGAATCCCTTATGCATATATAGTAGAATATTCATTCATCCCCATTTTTTGCGTTAGCAGCAGTCGAGAAAAATGTTTACTTTTTCACGGAAAGAAGGCTGAAGAGCGTAGCATATGGATGATGACGATGAAACCACTGAGCTAGGTTCAGTGGCCATCAAGGTGGGTCTTAAGACCCTACTTGTTGAGTTGCAGGTGGGAGTTCAAATTTTATCTGCAATAAAAAAAAAAATTTAAGAGTTGTGCCAAAGCACTCTCTTGATTTAATAAGTTCTGTGTATCTGCCAAAGCACAAAGTCTCTTTAGACTCTCCCTCCCTATGGTTTAGGATAGATAAGTTATACAATAGTTGTCGTTTCCGGAAAAAAAAAATATGGGTGATGATGATGATGATGCATAGAAAAAGCCTAATCAGTGGGGCAGTTGGGTTTTACGTCTTTGATGATGTTGATGCACAGAAAAAAAGCCTTAAATTAGAGGCCCCGGAGGAGGAGAGTAGACCCCACGACACTTTTAATGATCTTTTTTTTTTTTTTTCAAAAAAATATGCTAATGAAAATACCTAATCCACCACCATTATCATTATCATTATCATATTCATGTGCCGTGTAGGGGTGGTGTGTGATGGATTTGTCAGTATTCGTTTTTTGTTTTCTTAAAATGGCATCACAAAAAAATGAAACACGCATCAATACATCATATTAGTAAGTTGTTTTGGCGAGGAAATGAAATGAAATTCAAAAGAAAACATGAATGGATGATCATATACGACAATGAGTAGTAGTTTTGAGTTTCTAATTGATGATCATCCATCAACATGATTGAACTTACCATTAGTAATTAATTAAGAGGAGGTTATTACAGCACCAACCTACTTTCTTTCTTTTTTTTTGGCTTTTGCCAAATTTCTTCTGATTTGAGTGACATGCACATTGATATTTCCTTTTTCTTTAAGCGCTGACAAATGTAAAAAGTGCAAACTCTAGTGTAATGCAATAAGAGGAGTATTATTATTATTATTATTATGACTGCAATAAGAGAATACTTCCATAAGACAATCTAATATCCTTACAACATAGTATTTCCATAAGACAATCTAACCCATTACAGGCGGTTTTCGTCATTATCAACTACGCGTAACTTTCTTTATACATCGTGTAACTTTTTTTGCACATCGCGTAACTTTAGAGCAAATTTTTGTGGGGTCCACACATGACGTGGAAATCGAGTTATAACTTGTAATCTCAGCCGCACAAAATTTTGAGGCCAAATCCTGGCCATTAACCGCTCAGGGACGGTTGCAACCGTCCCTGCCCCATTTCCTATGGAAATACTACTTACAAATCAGTATAGTATACAAAAGTCAAGAGCAGTTGCAGCAGCAGCAGTTGCAGTAAAGAATGAATTATATATACTACTAGTATATATCTTTTGGAAAAAAAAAAATACTAACATATGACCTTAAAAAAACATAAATAATGGAGCAGTGCTAACATATGACACCTTCCATGCCCATGGCAGTGCAACTTGACGTGGCAGGCCAAAGATTCGGTAATGAACATGACTGACTGACTGCTGTAGACTGCAGGGCAGAGTATCCAGGCCCAGCACCAGCAGCGTCGGCATCGGCATCGGCGTCAGCGTCAGCATCAGCATCAGCATCAGCGGCGGTGGAGGGAATATATATATATACACACACACTTGTAAAGTTTCAAGAGAAAGGGGGTAAAGTCGAAGTTGTAGAGGTTAAAATAACTCCGACTCCTATTCCTATTCCTGATTCCTGCTGGGAAAGTAGTTATCTTGTTAAACGACCCCCCACAGAGAAAGAGAGACAGAGAGTTGGTTCCGACCGCAAGAAAAAGGGGCAAATTATAGGGTGGTGATTAATAGGCTGGAAAATATCTTTTACTATTTGATAGTAGTGGCAGTAGAATCTCAAGAAGAAGAATATGAAGAGCCCTAGCCCCGCTGTCTTGACCGGCAGAGATGCCCATGGCGGAGGATCGGATTCCTTGGAATCTTCAAGGAGAGAATTGCTCTCTCCTCCATTTGAACCCACCACCTCCACCCACCATAACTCCTCCTCCTCCTGGAAACTCAATATTGACGAGTTCCGATTACCTCAACAACCTCATCATCATCGCTCCTTCGGTTTCCCGCGCCTCTGCCCCCAAAGTCAGTATTACTACTTCTCCCGCCACTTTACAAATTTATATAACTGCCCCCTTTCACTCTCCTCTTTTACTTTTCATTATCATTTGTCAGTTGTAATACTTTCGATTACGGCTGTATACACACACAGACACACACACATATATATGTAACAACCCCCCTTCCCCCCCTTTTGAGTCTTCCTTTTGCATTTCCATGCATGCAAAGCTCAATCTCTCCAACCTCTTCCTCCTGCTGCGACCCCGACCCCATCATTTATCATTTTCTTCACTACTCCTCTTACCATTTCATCTTTTCAATCCCTTCCCTTCTTCATTATTGTTGCTGTTATTATTATTATTACTACTGCTGCTGCAACTACAGTAGAATTTTATTAGCACTACCACTACTACTTAATCGGCGGGGTTGAGTGGGGAGTTTTGGGAAACTAGAATACGGGATCATCGTGGTTGGGCGGCGGCGGCGGCGGGTCGCTGGCTCAGCCCGATCGATTACCTCACTAAACTTTACTTCCCCTCTCGGATTGGAAGGGTCCCGGATACTTCATGTAATGCTTCGAATATGCCCTCTGCCCCCACGATTAGATCTACTAACACTGCAGTTTATTTACAGTGCACTTTTTGTGAAGGAATTAGTAGTAAAAGCACGTCGCCTGTTGACAACAGAACATCTGTTTGCCTTGACTTTCTGAAAGACTACTACTAGTATTTAATTATTTATGCTGTGCTGCACCTTCCCTCTTTCATTTCAAATCATTATGGACTATCCATTTTCAGTCCAACGCCGCACTAACGCTTATTAGTAGTACGTGTTGTATTACTTTTCTGGATACTATTGCTTTCTTTATTTGTTCATCCACAAGAGCCCCAAGGCTTCTCTCAAATTAGTCTCCAAAATTGTGATCATGATCAAGAGCTCTACCTTTTTCTTGTTAAAAAAAAATTTATGCAATCTTGTGTATTTAGGATGGAAACTACTACTAGTTTGATCAGCACCACATGAAACGTCCAAAACCCCACTTCGATTCTTTCCTTTATCCTGTTTGTCTTCACGGACATTTTTTGTATTTTCATTTTCTGGAATGGGTTGTTATGCTGGTCTTATTGGTTTTTATCTGCAATCCGCCCTTCTCCTCCTCCATTAATTCAAGAAAGAGGACTAGAGGACTGATACTAGTTGACAGTGTAGCTTCTCTAGTCCCCTCGACAAGTTAAAACTTTGCTACTACAGGCCCCACTTAACGACCGACAATACAACCCCATCAGGTTTCATGAGGTTTGCTGCCTTTTTTTTTCACTAAATACTAGTGCAATGATTTTCTTAGGAAGGTTTTTATCCATCAAAATGATCATGCAAGATCACAACTATGGTATCTGTCATCGACTCCTAGCATAATTTGTATTCTAACTGTAACTTTTTTTTTTGGTAAATTACTCTAACTGTAACTGATATCTTATTATCTTGCTTTTCCTTCTACATTCATTTTCTAGGGAAAAAAGGCAAAATTGCAGAGTATTACAAGAAGCAGGAAAGGCTCCTCGAAGGGTTCAATGAGATGGAGACCATTAATGAATCAGGCTGCTTGCACGGAAGTCTGACGGAGGTTTGTCTTTGGCTGCTGCATCTACTCACTGTTGCTCTTGTAATCACACCTAAAAAAAAAAAGTTACTTTCTGATGATGAAAATGAGGATCATTTTAGACCAAGCTTTTATGGTGTCCTGTCCAAAAGAGCTTGTGTTTTAGCCCACCCCCTAGGGGCGGATGATACTGTCGCACAGCAAAATGCCAGTTTATCTGGTTTTGTTCCGGTATTTTATGTGTCCTTTTAATGTGACTGTTAGACCAACTGCCTGGTTAACTCTGACTTCTGGAACAATTAGCTTAAAAAATTGCTTGTGACGATCGCTGGTCTTTGTTTATTTCTTTTTTCTTTTGGGCTCCTTTTTCTGTCTTACAATTACTGCTATTGTTATGGTCATCTTAGTGACTTGTATGACT